TCCATGTCTACCATTGCAAGGCATGGCTGCTTTCTCCCAGTTCCTAAATGGAATCCAGGTACAGAATATGGAAAAATTCAGTCTATTGAAAAAGAGCAGTCATGTCTTTCTAGGTACCTCTGAGGGATTTGCTGTTTATGGGGGATTTTTTTGTTTGTTTTGTTGTTTTAACTCTTTGATGTGAAGTGACCAAACAGTGCATGTCTTCCTACATTAGCATTGCCTGTAGAAATGCACATACAATTACTGACCTCATACGCCTTCTTTCTCTTTATGTACTGGGCAATCAATTGTAATACCCTATAATTAATCAATACATCAACCCATGTCCTCTAAAAGACACATGCAAACATACATAACTGCAGTCTCAAGTACCCCGTGCAGCCAGCTAAGAAAATCTCTAATCTGATTTTCTCTGCAGTTTCAAAGTGGTTGGAACAAGGACTTGCCTCCCCTTTTTTTCTGGAGACAGCATCCCAGAGCACATAAGACAATACTTTTTATCTTTGCTACTGTTAAAAAGCACAGCGAACAGAAAGAGTTCCTTGTCTCTTCTACCTTAGGGTCAGTCCTGCAATGCTCAGCCACTGAATCCCACTGTTAACAGCTGACCAGCACTGAAAAACTTGCACAAGAGGAGAGGGGATAAAAAAAAAAAAAAAGTATTACCAGGATTTCTAAGAACTTGGCTCAGCCATAGAGCAAGTTTGTCAATAACAGAAGCAAGAAAACAGGCCTCAGGAACATCCTCCAAGCCCCCTTCAATGCTCATTGAGAGATGCTTAGGATAGAGGGAACTTAGCTGCATGGTTCAAGGGACCATGCATTTACATTAGCTAGTAAGGGCCTGCCTACAGCTCCTTTATTTACAGGGACAGATATGCCAGTCTGTGATAGTAGTGTCTCAAACCCTAAAAGCCAGCAAAGTTTGCAAGTGGTCAGAAAGGAAAAACAGCAAATAGAAGGTTTTCTGCGGCATGCAAGAAACTGAACAAACATGTTCTGCCTTTCCATTCAGAGCTGTAGTGCTTGTACCTCATTTACCTTTTGGTTTTTAAAAGGGCAATAAAGATTAAGCAAAATACAGTTTTGAGGAGATGGGGTTAAATTATTTTCAGCTAAAAATATGCAGAGGTTATTCAATAAAGTTCCTTGCTATTTTTAACACTGATAGACACTTAAAAGGCATAACAATTCCTAGGTACATTAACAGTCATTTCCCCCACCCCCCCAGCTGGTACGCCACCCATAAAGCGGCATGCTTCACTGTTTCGGGTACCAGACAGTAACAACAGCACAAAGCACACAGGGGAAAGGTCATAGTTAGACCACACAGCCTGAGAAGCAAGGTGCTGTGCCAACACCAATGTCCCTCCTCAGCAAATTTGTAGTCAGCATATTTAGGACGATATTCAGAGAAATACACTTAACTATCAGCTCACCAAGCATACTGCATTTAATCCAGAAAACTTCAATGCCAAAACCATCCCACTTTTCTTTCAAAGAAGCCCACAACACAACTGCACTAACCCCACTTCAACAACCACTCTTTATAACTTCCTACCCACCCAACTCCAGCTGCTTCTTGTACAGCTATTATAAAGCTGAGGGCTCTCGGTAATCAGCTAAGTGAATCTTGCTGGCCACCCCCCACAAGCCTTCCATGTCTTAAAGGTCTTGTTTACCAGCTCCTAAAACTACCTAGGTACTAGTTGAGAGACTTTCCTTGGCTTTTGGCTCAAAGAGGACTTAATCACCTATGTCAGTCAGACATCATGGATTAATACCATAAATGCTCACCTTTAATTTTATAAGTAGGCAACAATTCATAAAAATCAGCAGTGAGAATTTTTCTAGTGTGTTATCACTGGTTAAAACTATGACAATAGGCATTCATACTTCTTTATGAGCATTGAAGCCTGATTTAGGCGAGCAGGGAGATACACATGACAGGATATAGGTTCTCTGAGTAGCCACAATGTAATTAAGAGACATCATGTCTCTGTGTACGAAAAGAGCTCATGAGTGCTGGCAAGTCTGAGACCATGCGTGCTGTATCTGCTCAGTAGAATCCTACCCTTTTTCCACAGCAGCATTGGTATTGAACCTACAGCTAACTGCTTGGCAGCAAATAACTGCGGATGGCAAAATACTGACAGGTAGCTATAGAGAGTGGTGAATTTCCATATCATAGTGGCTCTGTGCTCCAAACACGCAAGACGGCTCTTGTGTTGATGTACATGCATGAGTGACCACGCTGAGGACAGTCCAGCTCACCAGTGATAGCCAAGATACAATCCAGGGGCAGAAGTTGAGAACAAGAAGTAAGGACTGCCAAAATTCGTAAAATATAGCGTAGCAAAATACCTGTTGGCTCAGCTGTTGACTAGCCAAAAATCAGCTGTGGGGGATGGTTCAGCTGCACTCCCAGCATCTATGTTTGACCACATTGGGCTTACCCACAGGTCTGCTGGAAGTGCTGGCTTGTTCAGCTATTGCTGACAGTTGTGGGATAGGTCAAGCCTGTATCTAGTAGAACTAGCAGTGAGATAAACTCCCTGCAGATCTCCAAGACGGCCCCATTTGTCATTGAAAGCTCTGCAGATACTAATGTTCATACAGGCTTCAGAATCCCTGATTTTTATTTCTTTTTTTATTTTACTCTCTTTGATTGTACTATTTGATCTTCCTGATTCCCGTTACCATATTTGTAAGATAGGATCCCTTTTGGGCTTTACTTGCTGAAAGCTTCACCCCCTTTCTGTTCCTTTCTAAGATTATTTGGAAGCAGAATGTATTCTGAATAGTAACTGTCTATAACTATATTAATTAAACTTAGATTTAAATAAAGGCTTGGCACAATTATACAGGTTTCCCACTCTACTCTGCGTGTATCTCTCTCTCTCTGTCAGGAAGCCACTTCTCCCACAATACATTTCTTTTCTAACACTTGTTGCATGGGTTCAATGGCCTGTGTAGTTTAATATATCCCACTTATTTCTCCCTAGCCTCTCTTCCACCAATGGCTACACGATATGACACGCTATAAGATTGTATCAAAGGTCATGCTGTTTCCCCTACCCAACAAGTCTTTGAATTCAGAAAATTGTTCATTTGTTACATTTACTTCTGCTTTTTGATGCAATGATTTTACTCTCATAGAGACTTCTTTTGATATAGCTCTATAAGTAGCTGAAAAGATGCAGCCTTTTGGGGGGGCATTAACCACATTAACTCTGGAGTGTTAACCACATTAAACCACATTAACAGAGTTAATGTGGTTTATCTGAGTCTGTTCCTCATTTGGACCATATCTCACCCTACTTTGGTTTTGGTACATTTATTCCCTTCTAGTGAAATGGGAAATTTCTGATCAACATTTAGTAACACTCACTCCTTCACTTGCCTTTCTTACTATGTTATCTCGCTTGCCTCTATCCATCACTTTTAGTATTCCCCAGGAGCAAATCAAATGATAGAGTAATGTTTTGTCTGCTTCAAAAGCAGTCATCTTATTTCTAGGAAAGCATCTACCTGTCATGTAAAATAATCCATTACTCATCTCTTCAGCTGATGATGGATAGTTTCCCCCGTATAATCAACCTGAACATGCTCCGTACGAGGCTGTCTCATCAGAGCTCCTCTTCTGAGCTGGTTGTCTTGGTTTTGCTGGCAAAAAGCAGACAACCATTAATGTGCTTTTTCAGGTTTTTTTCCATCCCATTTACCATGTAATGCCACCTAGCTTCCTTTTGTTTTGGACAGTCTAAGGTAACTTCCCTCAGGCAGAACAATAAACATTTTCATATTTCTTGGTGTCATCCAGATAGCTCCTTCCTCACTGACCATACACAGAATACCTTGCAGTACTTTGAGAGATTTCCAATGCTACATTCTCTGCCTATGGCTGGCACAATTAAACAATGGCTCCATTTCTTCACTGTTTGTTTGGATTTGCTGGGTTTGTTCTGCTTTTGCTTCTTTGACTGCTGATAACCCCTTGTGACTATCCCTTGTGCCACTAAACTATTTCCCAGGCTGCATAACTGTGTCCTAAGCAGCCATATCAGCTGAGTTATTTCCTTTTGCTAATGTGTTGGGTTTTCTTAATGCGCTCTGACAACTGCATAGAGTCTATGAGCTTGAACTGCTACAACTTCTGACATTCTTCAAAGACAATGGAAAGGGTAAATTACAGGATGGTAGAAGAGGACTCATGAGATTTTGAGAGCGTAACCATAGACATGAAACAATCACTTCCAGCTAGCTTTTTACAGGTGTTTCCCCATGTGCCATAGGGGACCTTCCTACAGTGTCAATGGCAGCCCTAGAAAAAGGTACAGGATAGCCCTCTACAGTGCCTATGCTGGAGGAAATACCCTCTCTCTGCAGGGAATCATGGTGAAGTGAAAAGCTAGTTTGAAGTTGTCACAATAAAGAAACTCACTTTGAAGCCTACACTTTCATACAGTATTTTAGAGAATGATAGATGGAAATGTGCTCGGCTAAGGAAAATGAAAAACGAGATAGGGAGAGAGGAGAGCTTTCAGATTCTGGAGTAAAATATCACGAGAAAGAGTGAAGGTGCAGTTTATATTCCAGCAAAGTTATCAAAGAATATTTGGAAACTTGGAATTTGGCAAAAATTATGTCAGTTTCGTTCTTTGTTATAAATTATGCAGAAATGCAAAGAAAATAAGAGGTTCTAGTAATGGGTTGGGAAGTAAAACTCTTGCTCAGAAAAAAATATCCCCACTCTGACTCTTAGACTGAAAACCCAAGAGTCAGAATACTTACTTGAAAAAATATGTTCTGCCAGTTTGGTGTACTGATATACACCTGTTTATTTCCAGTATCATCAATCAGAATAATTTCTTCAGGGTAGAATGTCTTTCCATTGAATAAAGAGTTGGGTTGATTTTTTACTGTGATAGGCGGGGGTCAGAGGACCATTCATAAAGCAAAAGGTACAAACCTTTGCTGATTCTGTTGTCTCACAGATTTCATTCTGCTACAGCTGGTGGTTGAGCATTTCTGCCTGGGATGGCGGAGGATCAGGAGCTGACTCAGCCACACAAAGCTCAACTCGAGCCCTCCCTTCAGCAGCGCACCAGCAACACATACCGCAGTGCAGAGCACTCTCAGGCCTTGCTCAGTGGCTTGGTATCTCTCCGAGACAGCAGCATCCTCTTCGATGTAGTTCTGGTAGTGGAAGAGAAACCTATTGAGGCTCATCGCATACTTCTAGCTGCATCCTGTGACTATTTCAGGTACACTTCAGTACAGCAGTAACAAACGTGTGTCTGAATGTTACTCAAACTTGCAACGTCCAAATCTTCTGTCTTGGCATACTGCTTCTTGATGTAAAATTAGACCCATAAGATGGAGCTGAATGTGTTTCAGAATATTAAGTATGGCTCTATTCATCTCTCTGTTATGTCTCTACAGAAATAAAGCTCTAGTTCCTGCATGCTAAGCTTACCTCCACTAAATTCACCGCCTGTGGTACTTGGAGGTATATAAAGAGAAGATACTCTCTGAACAGGTGTCTTCTGCATAAATGTACTCTAGGTGGCTTTTAACATGTCCTTAGCATTGTAAGACTGTCCATTGTCGTGATCACTTCATAATATACAAAAAGACAACAGAAGTGGGTCACTCTGTTACATGCCTATAGTGTGACTTGCTGTCCATTAAATCAGGCATTCCCTGGTCAATTTGACTAGTAAGTAGTTTCTTGAACTGACTTTATTTTCAAAGAGCAAATAAGCAAATCCCAAGGCAATCCAGCCAAACTTCTAACTGAAGGAAGAACAGCTCTAGCTTAGAAAAAAATCCTACAGTCCCAAGTTCCTCTGTTTTTCCTCTTCCCGCACACCCAGAGCATCTGCCTCTGCCCATTGACTATCCATACGTACTGGGTCTGTATTTAAGTCCTTCAGCTGTGAATCGTACCTTTCAGATGGCCCCTACTGTTTTGCTGCACAATGAAGAGTGTTACTTCCTTAGGTCCTAAAGGCCTGTACTCTTCCTAGCCTTGGCTTAGAGAAGAGGTAATCCCATGAAAGTCTCTGGCTAGGTTTTTCTCTTTCTGAATATTTTTTATGTTCCCAGGACAACATAAGATCAGCAAACTGAATATAGCTTCAATGCAAATCTGCCACAGCATGTGCCATTGTCTTTTTTACAGAGGAATGTTTGCAGGAGGACTGAGAGAGATGGAACAAGAAGAAGTTCATATTCATGGCATCTCCTACAATGCAATGTGTAAAATCTTGAACTTCATTTACACTTCTGAGCTGGAACTCAGTGTGAACAGTGTACAGGAAACCTTAGCTGCAGCCTGTCAGCTTCAGGTGAGGTACTGGGAGATGTGACAAAAAAGAAGCAAGAAGCAAAAGCAACAATGAAAGAAAAAAAACCACAGATATTTGGTTAGATGGAGGGCTAGGGGGTGGAAAAGAGCATGGGTCTGATGAGAAGCATTTCTTTGGGATGCTGTATCCACTGGGAATAACTATGGAAGGGTAGGAACAACGAATGAGTGCATGCATATCTCATTTGTGCCAATGATTTTATTACTTATAAAAATTTACCATTTCATCTAGAGGACTGTTTTATACAGCACTTACTTACAGTGATCTGCTTATGAGAGCTTCCCTAGAATAGAATACCTCTGGCCTATGGTAAAGGACAGGGCTTGCGGCTCAGAAATTGTTGTGCAGCTGAAGCCTGCCAAGAACTTCCCCAGATTGCGTCCACAGGCACATAACCTCCCCTGACCCCGTCACTACAGGAAATCCTACCACTATGGTTTCTGCACTATGTGCAGAGTTCATGTGCCTTTAAGACAAGGGTTTTTTCTCTTATTTCCCCTGCAGCTAACTGCTGCACAAGGCTTTGGTACTAAATCTTAAACTTTCTGGGTGCTTGCTTTGGTTGGTTTCTACACACTTAGCACCACTTTATTAGCAGAGGGGCTCTTGGACACCAGTTAGTTCTTTGTTTGCCAGTAGTCCGTCCTGCCAGATACAACTTCAAATTGTATTCAGAAGACAACACTAAATAGTAATTTTCCTTTCAAATGGTTTCCTGTGCTCTTGAGTGATGCAGATATATTTGTTACAGATAGAATCTTTGATACAGTATGTCTATAGTGCATTGAAAGAACAATTACAGAGTGGCTGTAAACCTGGCTTTTACCATGTGCTTCATGCCTTCCATTTACATGACTGCCTCCCGGGCAGCCTGCAGCTTGGTGCTATGCTAGCAAACCAGGCAGCCTGGCTGTCCAGTGTCCCATGTATCTTGGAAGATACAAAGCTGCTGCACCTGAAGCCAAACTCATCGGCTTGCAGTATAATGTGGCTAGAAGATCTATATTATATTCATCTACATACGCATGTTGAGTTGTTTTTTTCTGGAGAAAGGTGAATTGAGCACAAATGAACATGGTAATCAGACTGTGAGGAGAGCAGTTGTCTTGTGGACAACTTTCTCACAGTCATCCCAGGCTTCCGCCACCTGTCTCCTAAGTGTGAGGCAAGTGGTGTCAGAAATGAAAAATATCTCTCTCTTGCAGATTCCAGAAGTCATTAAGTTCTGTTGTGATTTTCTCATGTCCTGGGTAGACGAAGAGAACATCCTCGACGTATACAGACTAGCTGACCATTATGACTTGAGACATTTGAGTGATCAGCTGGACTCCTACATTTTGAAGAACTTTGCAGCTTTCTCAAGGACACAAGTGTACCGACAGCTACCCTTGCAGAAAGTCTACTCCCTTCTTAGCAGCAACCGTTTGGAGGTTAACTATGAGTTTGAAGTTTATGAAGGGGCACTTTTTTATCATTATTCTCCAGAGCAACTGGAGACAGATCAGGTCTCCCTGATGGAGCCCCTTAAGCTACTTGAGACAGTTCGTTTTCCTCTGATGGAACCTCAGATCCTGCAAAGGCTTCATGACAAATTAAGTCCCTGTCCTTTAAAAGATACAGTGGCAGATGCATTAATGTACCACAAGAATGAATGTCTTCAGCCAATGCTTCAGAGCTCCCAGACACAGCTGAGATCAGAATTCCAGTGCGTAGTAGGATTTGGAGGGATGCATTCGACTCCATCCATTGTCCTCAGTGATCAAGCCAAGTATCTGAACCCCTTGTTGGGAGAGTGGAGGCATTTTACAGCTGCACTAGCCCCCAGAATGTCCAACCAAGGGATTGCTGTTCTCAATAATTTTGTATATTTAATTGGCGGAGACAACAATGTAAGTGGTTTTCGAGCAGAGTCAAGGTGTTGGAGGTAAGATAAGGATAATCCTGCTATTATTTTTATTACCACCCTGTTGCCCATCTCTGAGTCAGTAAGCCAGTAGTGCAGTCTGCATGCTTGCCAGCCAGAAGATTAGGAACTGAGCAGGGGCCTCAGTGAAAGAAAACAAGAAATAAAGAAACGAACCTTATAGAAACAGGAAGCTTCCAGCAGTGTTTATGGGACAAAGCCAAGCCTGATATGGCAGAAACAGCTACTCATTCAAGAGTATTACACGTGCTACCTTTCTGCCTTGTTGGAGGGGGGAAGTACTAAAGGTGTGGGAAGCTGTAATGAACTAGGATTCCGTAGAACCCTAGATTGTCTAGATGCTCTTGAACTAGGATTTTCTAGAAGTCTCCTGTGTGTAGTTTTGGTCCCAATACAAAGGGATTTAGCTAACAAAAAGGATTTTTAAATAAAAGGCTTTTACTGGTTGATTATCGAGAATTTGTGTGCACAATAGCAGCGTTCCAGGGAAATAGCAGCGTTCTGTGCCAGCAAAAAGAACAGGAGGAAGGATCAATTTTAAATCTTAATGTCCATTACATTGCAAAAACAGATATAAAGCCTTTTGTCTTGTGGTCATTTTTACTAGTTTTAGTTGCGTTGCTCTTATTTTATGGCATGCATAGTTTCACTTCACAACCAGTTTTCTCTGTAACTAAAATTTCCAGACCAGATAGATATTTTGATCTGAAAATGAATCATGAGGTTCACTTTGAGCAGCAGATATTTGCGGAAAAGAATCAAAGAACCCACCACATACTTATGCCCTTCTTGGCCTCTTGAAGATTCAGTCTTTGTGCTATTTTTAGACTCTTTTACCTTATAGAGTGGCTTTGTGCTAGCCGAGATTTTGATGTATAACCTGACAGCAGCATATAAGATAGTGGAAAACCTAGGCTTTTATAGCATGATTATATGAGCTAAAATAAATCTTCTAAAAATAGAATAAAACAACATTGCTAATAATAAAATGCTGACAAGGCCAAATTTCAGTCCACTTACAGCTGAGCTCAACTTCAGCCAAAGACAGTACAGTAACCCACATCTGTGGTGCTGTCTGGTATTCCAGCAATGATTCTGTGGCTGTACAAATAACGTTCTTTGATCCTGTTCTTTTACAAGGTATGACCCGCGACACAACAAATGGTTCCAGATCCAGTCCCTACAGCAAGAGCACGCTGACCTCAGTGTTTGTGTTGTGGACAACTATATATATGCCGTCGCAGGCCGAGATTACCATGAAGACCTGAGGGAAGTGGAGAGGTATGACCCTAAAAGCAACACTTGGGAATATGTGACACCTCTGAAGAAGGAGGTAAGGAGTGCATTAGCTACACACAGTACTACAGTTCCACAATTACTGATTTAATCTTTTTAGATGCTTTTCTCATGTCTAGCTTTTAATTTGCTGATAATCAGATGGGAAACAGTAGCCTCTGTATAAGGGATAAATGAATATCAAGAAAGGAGAATAATAATATTTGTAAATTCCTTTTTGAGGTTAAATGCTTATTTTTCCCTGTTTTCTTGTTGTTTTCCCCTGCACCTTTATTGTGTTAATCCTTAAAACCATTTAAAATTGAACACAATCTCTGGGAACAGGAAGTTCCCATTTCTTCTAGGCAGGTAAACCATGAGCCACAGTAGTACAAGCTTCTCATTTACAGTCCTGACAACATGCTTTACTCCTGATCAGAAGAGATAATGCCTCAGTAAGAAGGTACATCAGTTTCTACAGACTAGTTATTTCCTGGACACAGAACTGAGATTGGGCAACATGTTCCAGTGACAATAGCTTATGTGATGCAGAATCACGTCTCAGTCAGCTAACATAAGACCATTACTCATTTGAAATATGTGAGTGAATAGCTATCTTTTGTCATCAGTACCATATATCATTCTAGAATAGCAATTGCCAAACTAGCAGTTGTGACCCCAGGAACCAGGCAATTGTGTAGTGACATGGGAACTGGGGTTATGAGTGGAAAAATTTCTTCTAAGTTCTTATACTGCTAATAAAGGCAAGAATTTCCATTTGCAGGTTAGAAATGTTCCAAAGGAGGAAGATAAATACAAACAACTGCTTGATGAATCTTGGTTCAGGAAGAAAACTAAAATCCTGAGTAATCTTTCAAGAAACTATGCTGATTTCTACTACACCTTTTAAAAGCTTTGGGTCAAGTGACCAGTACAAAATAATATTTGTGATTTCATAATGCCTCTCAATTGAGAATCTCAGGACACCTTAAAAATATTTGCCATTTTACAAAAGAGATACAGAGACAGAAGAGATAAACAGCTTGCATGAGGTCACAAATAGTAAATGTGTGTCGATGCTGAGAATATAAAAAGCCTTAAGATCAATTGAGTGCTAAGTAGCATATTTTGCATTCTTGATAACACTGCTTATATAAGAATAATCTCCAACAGAAAGGCTTCCAAGTAGACTAGGGAGAAAAGTACTAGTATGAATGATCTTCTAATCAAGGAACAATAAAGAATGAGAACCCATTGCAGTTCTGGAAGTTTTAGAAATACTAGTGTATTTCATTCAGAAATTCACACCTAATCACCTAGAAAGCAATTTTCTATAAGAAAATGTGCCAGATGTTGATATCTGTGTAACTCATGAAGAATGTCACTCCCTTAATGTCTATTCCATACTTTGAAACTGGGAGAAATACATAAATCCAGACCTCAACCTCTTCCTTTCCCATGTGGTGATACAGGTATATGCACATGCTGGAGCGGCACTGGATGGGAAGATGTATATTACTTGTGGGAGGAGAGGTGAAGACTATTTGAAGGAGCTACAATGTTATGACCCAAAGACTGACCGCTGGGACGTTTTAGCAGATGGTCCAGTGAGACGTGCTTGGCATGGGATGGCTGCACTGCTAGGAAAGCTCTATGTAATTGGAGGAAGCAACAATGATTCTGGCTACAGAAGGGATGTTCACCAGGTGAGAGCATGTCATACCTCTGTCTTTCTTGGAAGAGTCTCTTTCTTACAGATGCTTGTACTCTGACGTAATGTCTTTCTCCTACTAAGTATGCAAATAAAACTGTCTGCCCAGCAACAGCTACTGCACCAGTTCTCCCCCACTCAATTGCAGAACTTGCAATGATTTATTTAATGTTGTCTGTCTTGAACTCATTGTCTAACCCATAAAGCATGAAAGCTCTAGCACTTGGAATTCCTACCAATTTTAAAACATGTTTGAAGGATAACATTCATTGGGATGCACATACCCAAAATTAGCGCATCAACTAAATTTACTTTGCATTGTCTTCTCATGTGCATTTTTTTCTAAGTCAAGGACTTTTGAATTACCAACGTTTAATTGCAGGACAGAGTTATTAAGGATATGTTGGATGGCAATTGTATAAAGCAATTAAATATACAGTACCTGATGATAAGTGATGGCTGGAGAGAATTCTCGAGTCTTATTCCAGTTTCTAGAATTCCTAGAGACATGAAAAGAAGACACAAAAAGTAACTGCTCTTATAAAGCCAATGAAGATGGCAGAAATAAATCTAATTGAAAAGTGTATCTGAATAATAAAAAGGTGCTTACAAATAAAAGCAGTTAGCCAAGTAGGTATCCAATGAAATCTAAAACTTCCCAACATACGGTGCAGAGACGGCTTAGCAGTTTTGTCATTTTTGTATGTTCCAGCACATTTTTTCCTAATGCAAACAGATGCATTATGTCTGAGCTTATATTAGCATGTGTCCCCTTCTCTTTCACTTTTGTATACATTTTTTGAATGACATAAAGCTGTTACTCCAGCAGCAGGGTCAGAAGTTGTGATTCAAAGCTATATGGCAACTACACACAGTTTTCTGCCGACTACTGTACTTCTACTACATAGTGATACGCTCTCTCCATTACCAACACCCTGTCAAAAGACTGATGATATTGCGTGGCTTCCTAAATAGTTTGCCATATGGCCAGGCTCTGTCACTCTGTCACTAAGATACAAATTTGATTTTGGCTAATCTCTTTGCTTTTGTACAGGTTGCCTGCTATAGTCCAAGCACTGATCAGTGGACAAACGTATGTCCACTTCCTGCAGGACATGGAGAACCTGGTATTGCAGTCTTAGACAACAGGATCTATGTCTTGGGAGGCAGATCCCACAACAGAGGAATCCGCATGGACTACGTCCACATTTATGATGCAGAAAGAGACTGTTGGGAGGAAGGACCCCAGCTGGAGGATGATATTTCTGGGATGGCTGCCTGCGTCCTCACTTTGCCCAGGGCTATTTTAATGGAAACAGAGAAATGGTTCTCAGAATGGCATGCAGACCGCGTGAAGTATCACCTTGACTTTCCATCCGAAGTTATGAGCGTATCAGACTGGGAGGAATTTGACAATTCAAGTGAAGATTAGAAAACTGTAATATTTATTTTTTGCCAGTGGATGAGGAAATTAAGGATCAGAGAAATACTTAGATATTTTATATGTCTTTCTTATATACATAAATCAGTATTTAAAGGTTTGAAAAATAAATGTTCTGCACAAAATGCCATTCACAGTCAATATCTGCCCATCTGCAAGTGTTCTGCACAAAATGCCACTTACAATCGGTATCTGCCCAACTGCCAGAAAGCAGCATTTTTAAAGTAACCACAGAACTGCCATTTCCCCCCAGTTAAAGTATAGAGGTTCTTTTGCTTTGAAGGAGACTTTTCTTAACCTTCAGCATGGACAGACAAAAAGGCACAGAAGGCTCCACTTGACTAGCTTCTCTCCTTCCAGATTTCAGCTTGAAAGAGCTTTTTGAGATTTTTTTTCCTTTTCGGTAATAAAACTTCCTAGCCAGCTTAACACAGGAAGGTAACACCTAGTGTCTCCCTCCTGTGCCAGGTGTCAGACAGCTTGATTGGTTTTTCAGCAAGATTGAACATACAGAAACAGGAACAGTAGCAAGAAAGTCTGAACCTTCATCTCATCTGGGCATGCAGCCATCTTTGTAACTGGGTTAGAGTCTGTGAACTGACACCCACTCCTGAACTTCTATACTGCAAGTTCTGTCAACACAGTGGAAAGAAGATTTCTTGAAAAAACTCTCTGTACAAAGTATGGCAATCTCATCATTCAACTGTCAGACACATTTGTTCATAAGCATAAATTAATTAATAAATCCTCGTCAGAACTTTTTTCTTTTTAACTACTGTCTCAGTTTTATTAACCGTGATAGGGACTCTGAAAGTTAATGAGTTTAACTAGATCCTATAGTACTACATTAATATCAGTGAAAGTACACCAGCTTGGGAGATGTGCATTTTTTTTCATTCTTTTATTATATGCTTTAGAAGAGAATAAAGAGAGCAGAGATTGGTTTGCCACAGCATAAGAAAAAAAGTAATAAGGAGATAACTAGAGGTATTGAAAATTACACTGGTCCAAGACCCTGCAGTAGCTGAACTAATGCCAGGAACATAATACAGAATTACTACAGCTCAGAAAGATATGGCATAGTAAATCCTTCCTTCATGAGGCCTTAAAATAATTGGCTTCTGACTACCATCTTGCTTAACTAATAGTTCAGAAGCAGATTTAAAGTCTGAACCAGTGGGATACCTGATTATAGTATAGGATCCTTCCTCTTGGAGGGGCAGGAAGTAATCGGTGCCACCAGAAAATCATGACAAACTACCAAAAGCTTTTAAATCTTCTAGCAATAATGGGGTTGCAGGAAAAGGGCAAAACCAAAGTGACAATAAGAATGATACAATACTAGTCAAGTATCATCACATCATGACAAATACTGTGCACATTGACTTTAGAGAAATGGAAGAAGTTCCTGGATATTACCATTACTTAGGGTTATTTTGTTTATATAAACAAAGATTATTTCAAAATGGACCTAGATGACTCTACATTACTAGACTGAGCTTCTGGGAAAGATTCAAGAGTACTTGCACACTTCTTTTAATAAGCTCAACAGCTTTTTCTTGGTAAGAAAGAGGGGCATTTGTTGGATTTTTTTCTCTAGCACTGTCAGTTTTCACTTCAATCTCTGACCATTTGCAAATTGGCAAATGAAAAGACCTGGTGACTGCAGGAAAACCTGTATATGAGCTTCTTCAGAAAATCTTTTTTATAATGAACTCTGAACTGCAAATGGAGTCTGGAAATACAGACCTTATTACACTGCAGTATTGGAGACTGACGAGTATTCCTATTTTGCCTACAGAGTTACTTTTAATGTGTAGAAATTGCATGTAGCCCTCAGATGTAAGGACAGATCTCTCTGACCTGGACATCACTAGAACCACTCCTTCCAGACTGCAAGGGTTGCAGTGGCAATTTGATTTGTCTGCAAACAACAAGCAATTCAAGATTTCTAGTGGTCCAGGTCATATTCTAGACCCAGCTGTTGTAACTAAACCCAGACATCTAACACAAGTCTAATGCTTGCAGTGCATTGTCCACTTTAACTAGCACTTCTTGACAGACCAGTGATACCTTATGTTGTATAAGTGAAAATGTTATTTTGCCTCTTTCATGATAAAAAAACCCCACCCTAATCATTCTTTCACTTCTTTTCCTTTTCCTATGTATACCACTAGAGGGTATTAGTTACTATAACAAATAACCAAACTGATAGGCTAATTCTTAGATTACATCGGAGAATACAAGACATTAATGAGTAACTATTAAGTTAAAGAAACATCTTGAGAAAACTCATGTGGATTTTTTTTCCAGCTTCTACCCTATCACTCCTTCTGTGTTTGGATACTGATTTTTAGATAGTCAGGTGATCTGTTTTTCCATTTATCAGTATATTCAATTTTATGATTGCATTATTTATTAAATGTTGCAGTTGGATGCTGTGCAAAGGAAGTCAATATAACGCTTAGAATGCAGTTACAAGGAAATGACTTTTCCTTAAAGCAGATCACCTACCTTAGAGAGAAGTGCTGCATTATTCTTTCTATTATTTTTTTTTTTGTTACCGGTATAATACCCCTAAGTTACATGAACTAAACCTAAGGGCAGGTATTATGCATTTTGATTTGATAAAAACAAAACTTGTTGCTTTCACCCCCAAGATTTATTTTCATCCGAGCATAATGTTACTGTTGAAAGTCAGGGTATGCACTATCTTACTTGCATGTATTTTGTATAGGTAAAAGCCCACAGATTTTAGTTTAGCTCAAACAATCCTAATCATTTAGCAGTAGCTCATCAGTCCAGCATGTAACTTTTCAAACTAACACATAGGCTAAACAATAATAAAATTGCTTTGCTATGCAGTTGGCAATTTTATCTAACTTGGCAGATATAAAGAGCTTTGTTCTTGTTTACTACAGTTACTTATATAAAGAAATTGCAGGAGAGATTACAGATTGATATGCAGAGCTATAATTATTATTGATTGGTTTTCCTATCAAGAACGATGCTTCGGGAACTTAACCTTCAAGAGCCCACTTAAACTTTGTGTTATCTTAGGAAAAACATGTACTCATAGGGATTTTAGGCTGATTCCATATTTTTAAATTTATAAATTCTCTGATCTCCTGTCAGTCTTGTATCTTACAGTAAAAAGCATTCCTTTTTTACAGCGAGTCCTCAGAGACAGCATAGCACGAGACATTGTGGACAGATGGACAATGAAGTAAGAAAGCTCTAAGTTATTTCTGGTCTGTAAGAGAATAGCCAAACAACTCTTCCAGAACTGAGTGATCAAAACACCAACACTTAAACTGCTGATACATTAGGAAGTCTAGAAGAATAGTAACTAGGTTTCTTGATGATCTATTTTCCTACTTCCTGCCAGCACAGAGGTAAAGCTGTATAGGCATATTTGCTAGATTTGTAATTAGTGGACTTGTATCCTAAAGTATTTCAGGCTTCCACATTTGCAGAAGTGATTGTAATTGCTTCAGTTTTTGTTTCATAACTGCTTTCACTACTGTATTTCTTCTCCAGCTGTCTACCTCCAAATCCAACATATCCTTTCCCATTTCCTCATGGTTTAAATTAGGGTCGTTAATTTTGCATTGGAAGCATACCCAGTAATTGATTTGAAACAAATAAGGATTCTCATTCTATACCCTTGACAGAAATTTACTTCTCCTTACTTAGAAACCAGCCACATGTACAATTTATTTGGCATTCGGCCCAACTGATGGGGTCAGAAGCTTCTGGCGTAAGGAAGAAGGAGCAGCTGGGCATGGAGAAAGAGGGACGGGATCTTCTCAAGGGAATATTCTGCCAACTGAGTTTTTATTTCATCAGCAGCTGATGCACTTCAAGAGCTCCCCACCTCCTCAGTTGTGCTACAACTATTTGGCCATGCTCTGATGGTGGAAGCTGCCAACAGGTAAGACAAAGAACATAAATGTGTTTTTATGTAATAAAAAGGTAAAGTGGTATCATATATGTCTCCATTCTTCCTAAACCAAATGCAGTTGTAGGGATGTAATACACCTGAGATGATTGTCTGTAGTCTAGGAAGTTGAAGTCCAGTCTTATCAAATAACATTAATGATCTTGAACAAGTCATCTTTCTCATATGTAAGTAAATGTGGGATCTTTTACCTAGATCTGGCCTAGTTCAACCACAGTTATTGAAACTGAGTGGAGAATTACTTGAAGGATGCATACAGCCTGCACGAACCCAAGTTCAGAACAGCTAATTGTGGTGCTTCCTTCCAAACTGAAAGCCTCTCCGTGCTTTAGAAAGCTCTCTGGATGGGAAAGTGGGTGTGCTGGCTCTCCAGCATCAGCCCAGGCCCAGGCAGTATTGCACAAAAACTGGTTTATAATTAAATACTATTTATTCCTGACATGTTTCAACTTGAGATTTTAATATTATCCATACAAAATGGAAACAAAATCACTATGTATTTGACCTACTACATTTTATTTTTATTATAACAAAAAATATAATTCAATAAAATGCAGCAATAGGAAATCTTAATTCTATTTGATATACGAGTTACTAATTCTGCTGCTAACTTGTGGCTTTTGTAATTATTTTTAAACATCATTTAGCATGTTATTGCAAGTCCAAGTACTTTTAATCCATATTTTGGTCATGGCCAAACAGAAAACTATCCAAATCTGTTCAAATGACAGAAGAAAACACAGTAACTTTCATAATCTATTGTAGCCTATCTACATGTATTTAAAACAGACTCTCATTGGCAGATGCAAGCACTTAATCCAGTAGGAATGGATCAAAGGTATAGCTACTAAGTAAGCTTCCCTAGCAATGGACAAAATATTTTTGCATGGATGTGAATTTTCAGATGGTGTTACTCGTCTCTGGGTCTACTGTTTTGCTAGTATTGCTGTACATGATTAAACAGCTGTTGTTTTCCACCCAGGAGATGGCTGTACTTTAGTGGCTGGTAAAGTGATACCTGTAGGTATTCAGGACCTACTTTAAGATCCTTTTGTGTTAGTGATGTTATGAGACTTTCCTGGATGATTTTGTGTAAAACAAAAGAAGGCCACTGGATGAGTCTCCCATTTTAGATGATTTGAACTCTGCTAAAGGTCTACAGAGACACAACCTGTATGTTCCAATCCAAACACCTCAGCTGGCACTAGTTGCCAATGTAGGAAGAAAAAAGACACAAAAAAATGACCATGTTGTGACTGAGCTTTTGGAAAAGGCAGTGCGTGAAAGCAAGA